GGACTGATGCCAGGGGCCCCCTCACCATGGACGGTGAGGTTGAAGTTGCAGCTGTCAAATTTGTCCTTGGTGGACACCTCGCAGCGGTAGCCTCCGGCAAGGTTGGCCTGGGCATCTGTGATGTGCAGCTCGAACAGGTAGACCTGTGGGGGCGAGGTGTCTGGGGAGCCGGGGCCGGAAGACGAGGCCCTTCACCCACACAGGAGACTGGGGGAGGCTAGTGGCCCCCAGCCTACTCACCCCCCAGGCCGGGCCGGGCTGCAGGAGAGCGGACGGAGCAGAGGCTGGGCATCCAGGTGCAGGTGCCAGGCCTGGACTGAGCAACCTCAGGCCGGCAGCAGCCACCTCTCGAGCTTCGGTCCCCTTGTTTGTGTCAGGAGTTGCCCCATTGGGGCGCCTCCAGCTCAGATACCCCTCTGTCCAGGGGCTTTACGCCCTCACTGGCTGGTCCCCCCATGCTTTACGATGTCCCTTGGCCCTCCTGAGCTCCCTGGGCCCCCAAGTTCCCATGTCCCACGGGTCCTCGGGGCCTCCTGTAGCCCTCCCCTGAGCCCCTCCGTCCACCCCATGTGCCTTGGGCCCCCCAGCTCGCTTCCCTGGCTCCCCACCCCTCTCTGTGCACCCTCCGTGTGCCTCCAGGTTCACAGGGTCTGGATGCCTCCCAGGCTCTCCGGGCCCCCCTCCCTGAGGGCGGGTTCTCCTGCCTCCAGACCCACCTTGCTGGCCCGGTCATAGCTGTCGTGCAGCTGCAGGTGCTGGCCTGCCTTGCTGCTCAGGTCCACCCACTTGCCCTTGAACCACTTGACAGTGGGTGGTTTCAGGAGGCTGGCCCCGGCCACGCGGGCTGAGAAGGTGATGCTGCCGCCTGCCAGGGAGGAGTGACAGTCTGGGCCTGGGGGGTGCTCTCCTGCCCCTCCCCCGCCACCACCCCGGCCCCACACTCACCCACGGTCACCTCGCCATCCTGTGGCCGCGTCACAAAGAGGCCGATGGGGTCATCGGGGGCACCAGGGCCATTGGGGGCTGCTGAACTTGACCCTATGAGCAGAAGCCTTTGAGACCTGCCCTGGGACACCCCCAGGTACTGGCCCTGGCCCTCTCTGCCCAGCTGCTCTCACCTTCAGGACTTGGGGAGCCTCCTTCCACCTCAGTGGCTGAGGGCAGGGCTTCTGTGGGAGCCCCAGGGGCCTCGACGGGGGTGGGGGCAGGAGCAGGGCCTGGCGCGGGCGCAGCCTTCTCTGCATGGGATCGAGTGGGGGGTCGTGGAGCAGCTTCCAACCAGAGACCCTGCCTGTCCCTGGCCTCTCCTGCATCTTTGCAGTCCCCTCAGATACTGCAGAGTCAGGGCTTCATCTGGTCCCTCTCTTTCCCTCACCCCCACAACCCCGTCTCTCCCCTAAATTCTCTCCCTTTCTCCACACCACCTGGGGGAGCTCATGCACCCACCCTTCTCCTCTGCCCCGGCTCTCCCAAGCTCCAGCCCCAAGGCCCCACTGTCCACGGGGCATCTCAGCTGGGCGGAGATTCCAACACTCCCCACTTCCTGCTCCCCAGGATCGCCTCTGCGGCGGCTCAGGCCGAGCAGGGGGCCAGCCCGCATCTCGCCCTCGCAGACCGTCTGCGCGCATGTCCCGGCGGGTCTGCTCTGACCAGTCCCGATGTCCATCCCTCCTTTCCTGCCCCGGTCCGGGCTCCCTCCACGCCCACGGCTCCCGGGGCTTCCCTGGGGCACACGGCCTGCAGGCTGTGTGTGGGTGTCCGGCGTTATTGCATGGTTCATTTCTGAACTTCCCCCACCTCCACAGTGTCTGGAACAGGCCAGGGATCCACACGGGGGCACTCAGAGAGGCCTTGTGCTCTCAGAAAACGGGGGGCTTTCCTGGTAGAGAGCACCGCCGAAGCAAAGGCCAGAAAGCGGGAAAGCACCTCCTACACCCTGGGCACTGGAGAGGTGGTGGGGCTGCCCCTGCTCAAGCCCCTGAAGTTCAAACCTCGGGGAAGACTGATCAGGGCTTTACCTGCTTCGATGACCTTGAGGTCAAACTTGACCTTGGAAGAGCCGGCGATGACTGCGTAAGACCCCTGGTCGGCGGGGCCCACGTCCCTCACTGTCAGCGTGTGCCGCGTGCCCTCCGCCGCCAGGGCGAACTTGTCGCTGGCGCAGATGTCGTGGCCCCCTCGCTGCCAGCGCACCTTCACGCCTGCCCGCTCCGTCTCGGCCTCGAACACGGCAGGGCCGCCGGCGGCCACCTCCGTGGACCGCGGCTTCTTGCTGAAGGCTGAGACTGAGGGCCCAGTGGAGGCTGCAGGCGCCCCTGGCTGGCCCGTGCACCCCGCCCCGCCGCCCCTCTTATTAAATACAGTGGTGACCGTTTTAATGCATCGCCACATTTAACGCCCCAATGGCTCTATCAGGTGGGTGCCATTGGTGTGCCCATTTCTCAGGTGAGGACGCCAAGGCTCAGACAGGTTCAGTGACTCACCAACCCCACACAGCCAGTAGGCGGGAAGCCAGGGCTGTGGTCCTAATCTCCACACAAGACTTTTGCTAAGTGCATCCCTGGGCAAAGCCAGTGATGAGCTCAGTGCCGCCCCCCAGCCATCTGGGGCCCTGGGCGAGGAGCGTGTGCTGCCTACTTGGCTGTGGCTAAATTTATCCTCTAAGGGCCTCAGGCTGAGAACCAGCAACTGAGATAAAGCCGGCCTGGGAGGGGGCTGGGGGCTGGGGGCTGGATCCCTGCCCTGACAGCCTCACTGAGACACAGGCCAGGGCCCGGACCCTGTGGTCCTGGGAGAGGCTGTGACTTTCTGTGCCCTTGGCTGGGGCTCAGGCACCTCTTGACCTTCATGTCCCAAAGCAGAGGGCCTGTGCACCCTCCACGGGGGGCCACACCCCGTGTGGGGGCCACAGGGGTGCCGGCTCCTAAAGCAGAGAATCTCACAGGTGGGAAAAAACCAACCCAGCCCCTCCTTGTGTAGATGGGGAAACTGAGACCCAGAGGGCAGAAGGACTTGCCCAGAAGCACTCAGTGAGCCTGGCTCGGGTCTATGCTCACCTGGGCGCCTGCCTGCAGGGGCCTTTTCCCCGGAGGTACACTGGGCCTACCCTTGTCGCAGCAGGAGGTGGGGGGCAGGGCTGGGCAGGGTCCCCCGAATCCTGGGGTTGGGGAGGATGGCCCTGGGCCTCCTGCCTTGGCTGTGTCCCTTCTGTGCCCTCACCCGGGTTTGCCCTCAGGGAGGAGAAACTGAGAGTCGGGAAAGGACCCAGGAAGACAGTCCCCTGCTCAGGAGGCTGGTCCGAGGCTGGCCACCCCCACCTGCGGCTGCCTCCAGCCCCCCTGCTACGAGCGCAGCCCACCCTCGGGCCCGGAGCTACCTGGCTTCTTCCCCGGCTCAGGCATCTTTAGGGAGGTCAAACCAGGAACCGAGCGGGTGCAGGCTGCCCACGGAGGATCTGAGCAGGGGCCCGTCCCCCCCACTATATAAGGGGCCCTCCCCCTCCCCAGGCCCCCCTTATCTGCCTCCTTCCCAGCTACCTGCTAAATATAGACAAATTCCAGAGAACAAGGGCTCTCCGGGAGAAGGTGGGGCCCCCCCCCGTTGCTCCTGGCTGGCCCCTGGCCCTTCCCCCACCGGCCCAATATGATGGCTGTGCACCCCCCAATCCTCAGTGAACCTCGGGGTACCCCAAGCCCTGTCCGCATATCCACCTGAAACGCGCATCCTCGCTGGGGGACCTGGGCGATGGTTACGCACACAGATCCCAGTCGCCAGAGTCCTGCCACAGCCACTCCCTCAACCTCCCCATGCCTCAGTTTCCTCATCCGTAGCGTGGGGCCGGGGATAGCGGCACCACCGCGTAGGGCTGGTTGCTCCGTGAATGAAGTGCAGTGGAAGCACTGGAGCAGCCGGGCGTGTGGGAAAACGCTGAGTGAACACTTGCCCTCGTTGTGTGGCCCCGGGACCGCAGCTCCCAGGGCCCTGGGCTGGTGCCCTGCCGCAGGCAGGAGCCATGCTGAGGGCTGAGTCCCCCCAGGGGAAGGTGAGCCAGCGGGGGAGGGCATGGGCGGAATCTGTAAACACCCCCAAAGCGGAAGGCACAAGCGGAGCTGGCTTTCCCCCGAGTCCCGAGGATTCACACGAAAACTACCATCAGAATGTTCTGGATCCCCTCACGCCCCAACCTTGCCGTTCCTCTGTGACCTCTGCCCCCTCTCTCACCCCCCTCCACCCGTCAGGGGCATCGGTTGCTGTAAAGAAAGAAGCAAATGACAGGCGCCACCCTCAAAGCGAGACTGAATGTCAGGGGCGGCCCCCGGTCCCCCGAGGTCAGGAGGACGTGATTCTCCATGCAGGCTTTGTCCGCGGGGTGGGAACTTACCATCCCCTCGGACACAGACATGCACTCTCTTCTGCCGCGTGAACCACTTTCCGGCCTCACGGCGTGCCCCCGACCCTTGTTTAAAAGAGGACTGTGTACCACTGACCCTCTCTCAGGGCTTGGGGACGTGTGTAGGGTGTGTCACACACCCTCCCCCCCCCCAGGGCCTCAGGGTGAGGGGGGCGAGGGCTGTCTGCCAACAGGGAAGGCCCCAGAATCTGGGTGCCCTGAGGTCTGCGGCTGCTTGGGGAGTTTCCTCGCTCCGGGGCTGTCGCCCTCCACTTCTTGCCACTGGGTAGTCGGGAGCTGGGAGCGTAGGGACTCCTGGCTCATCTTTTCCGCTCCTTCCCTGCTGTGGCCTGGCAGCCAGAGGAGACACCGGGCTCCTCCCAGGGGGTTCGCCAGTGTCGAGGGCCCTGTTCCCATGGACTCTGCGAGCACACTGTGGGGCCCGCGGGCGCCTCTGGGGCTTCGCTCCTGCCCCGACCACGCGGAAACGTACCCCACGGCAGACCCGTGGGGCCTCCCACCTCCCACTGACGTGGCAGTCCACGTGGCCGGGGGTGGGGTGGGGGGGCGGACACGGTGCACGAACTGTTTGTTTTCAAAGAGACTCTGCTGCAAGAGCAGTCACCAGAATAACTTTAATGAGGGCTCCTTGAGGAAGCTAAAGGGAGAGGTTGTGAGGAGGGAGAGGTGCTCAGAAGCATCGGTCCGTTTACACCAGTGGGGGGCTTCAAACTCCCAAGGAAGCACCTGGCCGTACTAAAGCAAGGCAGACCCCTTCCAGGCTAGTTGAACACCCAGGCGCCTGTCAGAGCAGCGGTTTGAGTCCAGTGGGAGGTGGAGCAGGGACAAGGGGCGGGGACTCGGAGGAGGAGGGTGTGGGTGGAGAGGTGAGGCCCGGCCCGCCACAGTCCTGCCCTGGCCCCTGGGAGCTTTCCTCCCCGTGTCCGGGCCAGGTGAGGGGTTAATGCTATGGCCAGCAGGGAGGCCCGGCAGGCCGGCAGGTCAGGTCGCTGGCTCACAGGGCTCAGTGGGGCGGGTGGCGCCGCTCGGCCAGGCTCCCGCGGCCCAGCACCTCCCCGCTGAACTGGTAGGTGAGCTTCTTCTTGACCTTCTTGACCTCGCCCGTCTTGCCGTAGTTGCGCAGCGCGCGGGCCATCTTCTGGTAGGTCATCTTCTTCCGGTTGCCCTTCTGGATGCCCCAGCGGTGTGCCAGCGCCTCCTTGTGCTTGGACGAGAACTGGAAGGTGCCCTTGTCCTTGTCCACCCACCAGATGCTGTCCTTCATGTCGCCGCTGCGGAGCAGGTCGAGCAGGAACTGGTACAGGCGGATCTTCTTCTTGCTGCCTGTGGGCGGAGGCGGTCAGCGCGCGGCAGGGCCCCGCCCACCGCCACCCCAAATGGGGGCCCTAGGGGTTGTCGTCGGGGAAGGGCGGCACTGGGGGACGTCCACAGGGAACCCAAGTCCCCAGCCCTATGCCCGGCACACACCCACTCACACACAGCACAGAGGGGTGCAGACGTGCACACACCCGCCCGCACTCAGCCACCGAGGGGCCTGAGCACACTCACCACTCCCGTGCACACATACTCCCAGACACACACACAGGTACGGACAGTCAAAGATGCTCCCACAAAACACGCACGAACACGCGCACTGACAAGTGTTCACACTCGCGTGGGTGCACACACACGCAGCTCTGCGGCGTGGCGGCTGCGTGAGCTGGCCTTGGCTGGGGTGGGCACGGGGCAGCGGCATGCCCAGTGCGGGGCTGGACCCGGACCCCTACCTGTTTCCCCGTGCAGGAGGCCCGGCCCCGGCTCCAGGCTCTCGGCCTCCCCGTCAGACACCTCCAGCGGGGGGCTCTGCCGCTCGCCCTCCTCCTCGTCCGTGCTGGGCTGGGCCGGAGACAGGGAGGGGTACGGGAGGCACATGCGGGGAAGGTAGGGGACCTGGAAAGAGAGTTGGCGTCAGTGAGGGGCATTGGCAGCTCCAGGCTGCAGGGCAGGGGTCGCGGAGCGAGAGAAGGGGGGTGCTGAGGGCGGGGAGGTCAGCAGGGCCCAGAAAAACTTGGAAGAGGCTGGGGAAGTCGGAGGTCAGTCCGGTTACCGGCAGGGTGACCACACACAGGGTGCACTGAGGTCTCGGGGACGAGGGGCTGCTGGAGTCCCCCATGCTGGGCCCCCTGCTCGGGGCCCCTTTTTCTCACACACACAAAGGGAGCGTGTGGACTAGCAGTGGCCCCGCGAGAGAAGTGGGGTGAAGAGGGGCCAGTGGGCTGGTACTAGTACCAACCCAGAGTGAAGGGGCGGCGAGAGCGTGAAGGGGCAGTGGAGGTGGGTGAGGGGCGCTAGAGGTCCATGGAAGTCACAGACCGGGATTAGGGCTGGTGTAGGCGAGGACAGTCAGTAAGGGGGGTCAGTGGGGGCAGGGAGCGGCCAGCAGAGGTCCGTGCTCAGTGACTGGGATGGCAGGTCCATTGGGCCAGCGAATGAGCGCAGCGGCCACGGAGGGTCAGCAGGGCCCAGGACAAGGCGGTTGGGGTCAGTGGATTAGGAGGGGAGGGGGTGGGTTTATCTGGGCTCCGTCCATCACGGGGCGAGAGGAGATAAGGGTGTGGGGTCAGGAGGTCAGTCGGAGGGTCAGGAGGAGCCGTTGGGGCTCCAGCCGCCGTTGGCGCTGTGGGGCAGGAAGCCGGGTTGAGTAAGCGCCTGTGTCAGCTTCCTGTGAAGCCCGGGCCTCACCGCAGGCAGGGGGCTCCCGTGGGCCGGGCCGGCCGCACGCACCTGGTGGCCAAGGCCGGCGTGGGTGGGCGCCATGGGGGTGTCCAGCACGTGCATCTGCTCCAGCTCCATGTGGCGGTAGAGCTGCTGCAGCTGTGGGGGTTGCACGCTCTGCAGCTCCGTGAAGTGGTTCTCGGCGAAGCTCTCGAACTCGCTGTGCATGTGGTGCGGGTGGAAGTCCCAGTAATGGTCTGCGGGGCACAGCCAGACGGTACGGGGTGAGCCCGGCAGAGGGCCCGGCAGGGGGCCCGGCAGGGGGCCCGGCAGGGAAAGGGCAGAGTAATTTAAAGACTTAAGAATGCCAGGCTGGATGGGGCAGCCACCGCAGGCCAGCCTGGGCTACAAGTGGACATCAGCCGTCCAACCACCCGGCCTGTCAGCTGCCCATCCCTGTTTGACGCACGAGGACCCCGAGCCCTGGAGAGGCTGCACACGCAGCGTGTGGCAGCCGGAGGCCTCGCCCGAGGCCGAGCCAGGCCCCGGGGCTGAAGCAGAGCCTGCGCTCCCAGCAGCATTGCTGGTCTGCCCCCCCTGCGGCCAAAGACGCAGGCTTCTGAGCCTGAGTCTGAATCCTGGCTCAGCCGTTTCATCCCCGTGTGGCCGCAGGCCCAGGCGTGGGCCTCTGGGCTCAGTGGACTCACTTGTAAAATGGGGATAATCATTACTGGTGAGTTCCCATTGGGGAAAGCCCAAGCCCCAGAGTAGGACCCGGAGGAACCTGGTTCCCGGCCTCGCTCACCCCCAGTGAGGACCTCCCAGTGGTTCCTGAGCTGCCTGGCTGCCCGGCCACTCGTGCGTGGCCTTGTCACGTGGCCAAGGTGTGTGACTGCAGAGTCACAGGGCTGACATTCTCCGCACACCAGAACCAGCCCAGGCGCCCCGCGCTGCCCTTTCCAAGGCATGTCCTTGGGCAGCTGTGTCTGAGTTCCAGGGAGGCTCCCGGGGCCCGAGGCTTTCCTGGAAACTCCCCCACGGGTGCTTTCAGCGTCTGCGGTGGGTGCATTCGCGTTTGGGGAACGGCCACGCGCCGCCGGGAGCCCTGCCCTGGGGCTCGGGCAGGCCTTCGGGGTGGTTCCTCTGGGCACCTTTTCCAGGAACAAAAACTGCCACGTGTCCAAGCACTTCCTGGGTGCAGTTCCGGGTCCAGAAGAAGGTGTGGTGACAGGGTGACCAGAGGGGTGTTCTCCCGTGACCCGGAGGCAGAGTGCACGAGCTGTTCGGCCAGGGCTGCGTCTTGGGGACAAGCACAAGGCCCTGCGGGGGACCACCAGCCCCCGTGCGCCTGTGCGTGTGATGGGTGCGTGTCTGTCTGTCTGTCTGTCTTTCTCCCTCCTTATTTTTCTCTCTGGCACAAGCATGCACCCACTCACACATCCTTAAGAGATGACACGCGGTTTTTTGGCCACTGGGGTGGCCTGGCCATGAGACCCTGAGCCTCTCCTTCCAAAAGTCAGAGACCCAGCTGGGTGTGACCGATGTCCCCTCCGCCTGTGAGACCACCTGACCCCCTCAGTCCAGACTCAGGACAGACTCAGTCCGTAGCACAGGACAGAGGGACACCCCCTGTGGGGGTCAGGCAGGGCTGGGGTCCGATTCTGCCTTCGTCATTTTCCGAGGCGTGACCTGGGCAGGTCCTTATTCCCTCCTCTGTACGTTGGGGCCACTAGGACACCCATCTCCCAGGCTTGTTGCGAGGATTAAAGGAGCCTGCCAAACGCTTAGACCGGAGCCTCGCTCAGACGGAGACTCCACAAACATGTATTGTTGTTATTATTATTGCCACGGTTACTGTTTTACTCTAACGAGCCTGCAGGAGCCCTTGAGTCAAGGGCAGATGCTCTAATACATAGTTGCTTCCTCTTCTTCCTCCTGCCCCGTCTCCTCGGTAAATGGCCCAGAGGAAGAGTTTCAGGGGCCCCAGCTGCTGCTCTGTCCCGGAGGCCGGCGTCGGGGCCCCAGCCCTGAACCCCAGTGGCCGTGGCTGTGTTTGTTCAGCTCCGTCTTCCCACAACGAACATGTCCTGAATGCATGGGCGAATGAATCCTATTCTTTTAAGATCTCCCTCTGACTCTCCTCCACCCGATTACCCACACCTGACGGGGAAACACAGCCGCTCGTACTCTGTGTGTCGGTCTCGTCGTGAGTCTGCAAGACCCAGAAACCCCTGCTCACTGCGGGGACCTGCTTTTTCCTCCACAGACAGGCCCTTGGGGGCTCTGGGGTCTGGGGATCCCACCTGGGGTCCCCTTTGGCCGTAAATCCACCCTGCCGCCCCACTCCTGGCCCTCCCCGTTTCTGCTGGGCTGAAGCGCCCAGATCTGTACAGACTGAACGCCCCGTCCATCCTGCCCGCCCAGCCCCACCCTCACACCCACTCCCCTTAGGGGTTGGGGGGGCCCTGACTGCCCTTTCCCTCCTGTTCCCTGTCTCTGTTCCTGCTCCACCTGAACCACGGGCTCACTCGGGTGGTCCCAGCCTGAGGCCAGCATTTCCCAAAGCGGGTCACAGGAGGCCTTCCTCAGAGTCACGTGGGGAGCTGGAGAAGCCTGCAGGTTTGGGGCCGGAGGGGGACCCACTGAGTCCGAAATGCTGATCTGGACGCCAGGAAGCTGGGATTTAACAGGTCCCTGAGGGCATTCCTTTGCTCACTGAAGTACTGCAGCCCTGCCTCCCCCCCCCCCCAACCCTGGGTCCCCTGAACGCTGCAACGGAGACTCTTCAGCTGTAATTAAGGTTTCAAAAGGCCCAACGGAAACCTCGCCTTCACCCTTGATTTGGGTACTCAGGCGATTATGTAACCCAGGCCGCCGGGCAGGCAGAGACGGCCTAGCTCGGGGCCTCTGGAAGAGCCCGGCGGGTGGAAGGAGTTCCTCCCGGTGGAAAAGTGAGCACTGCTGGGCTCTTTGGACCTCAGTCCCGGAGGACTGTTGGTGAGCAAATCGCCTTATCCCAGAGTCCCGTCGGCGGCCCCCGAGGCCGCCCTGCAGCGCATGCCCCCTCAGCCAGGTTCTCTGCTCCTGGGGAGAACACCCGTCCCTGCGCATCTCGAGGGAGGGAGCTCTGGGTCACCCTCCCTGTAGCCTGTCAGGCACCCTATACATAGTGAGCATCGGTCAGTATTCAATTAAATGATCAGTACAGGTTAACTTTCAGTTTAGTGCGTTTTTAGCATACCAGGCGCTGTGCTGAGTGCTTCATCCACTTATCCCACAGAATCCTCACTTCAGCTCTGACCAGGTTGGGGGCAGGGGCCCTGACTGCGCCTTCCCTCCTGTTCCCCACCTCCATTACAGCTCCGCCTGAGACCCATGGGCTCACTCTGGGGGCCCCAGCCTGAGGCCAGCATTTCCCAAAGGGGGTCACAGTAGACTTTCATCCCAGTCACCTGGGGAGCTGGAGAAGCCCGCAGGTTTGGGGCCCACCGGGTGGCCACCATGGTGTTAATTTCCTTGTGCACATGAGGAAACCCAGACTCAAAGAGATCAAGTCCCTCGCCCACAGCAGTCACTGGGAGAGTTGGGGTCCCAACCTGCCTGTGTACGGCTCTGGGACGGAGCCCTTGCACTCTACCACACCCCCTGAGGGGCAAGGCTGCTGGTGACAGCTTCGAGGAAGACCCTCGATGACAGACTTCACTGGCTGCTGTCACCCATCTGCCTGTCTGCCATCGCCCACCCCTTATCCATCATCCGTCATCCATCCTTCCATTATCTCTCCGTCTCTCCATCTGCACATCCCTGCGTCATCCAGCCAGCCAATGATAACCCATTCATCTAAACCGCTCATCTCGTCCCTCTAAACCAGCTCCCAACCTGGGACCAAGGTCCTGTCCACACATCCTATTCTTAATCAGTTTTGTGGTGTCACTAATACCTGTATGTCACCGGGGCAAAAATAAAACGATATTCAAAACAACCTCCTCACACACACAGTTCAAGCCTTAAGTGTCATTCAGTTGCCCTTTATCTCCTCGGACCAGAAACCCCAGCCTGAAGCCAGGGCTCCCCCAGGGGAGCAGAAGTGAGAACAAGGCAGTGAAGGAAGAGGAGAAATTAGGAAAGCAAGCACTGAGAAGGAAGCTCGGGGTGTCACAGGCCATCGGACCAGGGCTCCTGAGGGCCGGCCTCCTGCAAACAGTTGGGAGACGGAAACAGACCCGGAGTGGAAAGCTCCGGGTCTCGTGGAATTGCTACTGTCTACCTCGGACCCCAGTTAGCAGGGCGTTAGCGACTTCCCTCGCTGCAAAGACAAATCTGGCGGGACCTGAGTTTTATTCATTCCGCAGGACCTCGCAAGGTGCCTGGGATATAAAAGAGGCTCGCGTGTACTTATTGGATGGCCGAGTCGGGGGGAGATGGATGGAGGCCGTGGTGGCTGGAGGGAAGGACAAGGGGGAAGGCGAGTCAGTGGGTGAGGTGATGAGGTCGGTGTGTGAATAAGTCGGTGGGTGGTCAGTGGTATTAGAGAATGAGAGAGTGTGGAAGGACGGAGGAGTGGAGAGAAGGAGTCGTACTTTGGAACTCTATTTCCTTCTCCAATCCCGTCTCCGAAAGCAGATCCTGTCAAACCCCGTAGGACTGCTATTATCCCAAACCAGAAAATGACAAGGTTGGTGAGGATGTGGCGGGACGGGAACCCTTGTGCACTGGTGGCCGGAATGCAAAGTGCCGCAGCCACTGTAGAAAACAGTGTGGGGGTTCCTCAAAAACTTAAAAATGCAGCTGCCCTGGGATCCAGAAACACACTCTGAAACACCGGGAACCGGGGCTGGGAGAGACGCCTGCACGCCCGTGCGCGCGGCGGCTTTACTCCCAGTGGCTGAAAGCTACCGGTGTCCGCTGGCCGGGGGAGACACAGAAGGTGGTCTGTGCGTGCGGCGGAGTGTCACTGGGCCTCACCACAGGAAAGAAGTTCCGACTCGTGCTGCCACGCGGACGAGCCTCGAGGACATTGCGCCGACTGCAGTGAGCCAGACCCACCGGACACAGGCTGCGTGACCCCGCTCCCGTGCACTGCCTCGCGTGGGGCAACAGAAAGTAGAATGGCGGCTGCCAGGGCTGCGGGGAGGGGGCGTGGGGGGTCCAGGTGCGACGGGGACAGAGTCTCAATCTTACAAGGTGAGAGCGCTGGATGCGGGTGGTGGTAATGCTGGTACGCCAGGGTGAGTGTGCGCCAGTGCCAGGGTGCATC